GCAAAAGTGCTGAGTGCTCACAGTTGTGACTGAAGTCAGTGGGAGCTGTGCTGTACGATGCCCAGGTGTCTGAAACTGGACACCCCAAATTAGTGGATACTTTTGACCATAATCTCTTTGTGCTGCAGTTGCCCATCTGTAAAATGGGGATAATACAGCACAATGTGAGCTGAGTGGGAGAGGATAAATTCAGTGTGTTTGTAAAGCACTCGGATACCGTAGTGATGAGCTGCATAGAAAAGCTCATGAGGAAATGAATAATTTGGATTCAGAGCAGGGTTTGAACAGGGGGCAGTAAATAAGGCCTGAAGAATGAAAAGAAAACAAAATGTGGAATAGCTGCTCATCAGGGAGCACCGTCCCACCTGTGCACTGGTTCTGAGGAAACAATAGCATGCCATCATGTCATGAAAGACTATATCCCAATGCACACAAAGGGCTGAGTCATGTTCCCACGGGCAGCCTTAATTCCAGGCTTTCCTACCTGCAGGGTGCTTGACTGTGCACCTTAATCATGTTCTATTAACGGGTTAGAAGGCCCTTGCGGTTGGCACTAGTCACCCCAGCCCGGTGTGGTGAGCCATTGGTAGCTGTCTGGAGACGAAGCAACGGGGAGAGTCCGGCAGGAAATGTACCAGGACCCTCAGCTGTCGCCCACTAGCCACTCTTGACTCTGTTCCTGTCTCTTCGCAGGCCAGTTCCCCTATGATCTCAACGAATTTGGTTCCACCTTCCGGGTAAGTGCGTCACCCAGATGTGGGGCTGCCCCCTGGGACTCAGCGGGATTGCTGCCATTGAGGACATTAGGAGCACACGGAGCCTTGGCAGGAGTCACAGGGGGCATCCCCTGCTGTCGCTGCACGCGCAGAGCCCGTTGTGCTGTGGCTGCGGGGCAAGGCTGGCGTGGCTCAAGCGCCCAGCTCCAGAGCTGTGACCCGCGGAAGTGAAGCCCGCACTCAGCGTCCCTGAATATCCAGGTGGCACCGTGTGTTAAGGGCACTTGGCCGTTGTGTGCAGTGTGTTAACGGGCCTTTGGTGAGCTGCTCGCCACTGCCGGAGGCTGAGCACCCCGCGGGCGCCCTGCAGAGGGCAGTCCCGGTAACTTCCTGGAGCTGGCGTGCTCTGCTTGTCTGTCCCCACAGAGCATGCACCATCCAGGCGCTGCAGGGACAGTCCGCACAGCCTTTGCCCAGCCCTCCAGGGCACGTGTCGTAGCACCCCTGCCCTCGGGGCTGTGCTTATCCAGTCCTGGCCTGTGCAGGCAGCAGAGCGAGGGAAGGAGTTCACAACACCCTGTCCCTGGGGAGGGGGCGATGGCGATAGGGTTGGCGACATCGGGCAGCCCAGGCTAATGTCATTCCCCTTCTGCAGGGTGAAAAAGGAGATCGGGGGGACCCTGGACTGAAAGGAGAGAAGGGGGAGCCCGGCGAGGGAGGACTGTATGGATCAAGCGTCTCTGGACCTCCAGGTCCTCAGGGTTATCCTGGCCTTCCGGTGAGGTGCCCCTGTTGCAAGGGGATGGGGTTAGGGTGGGCACACCTGGGCAGGGTGACGGAGAGTTTGATGGGGCAGCCAGCACTGTGGCCCTCCCCAGGGGGGATGTCTAAAGGGAGGGGCCAATGTCCCGTGGCAGGGGGATCCCTGAGCCAGATGGGACTGACCACAGAGCCAGTCGGATGCCCAATACCCAGGGAGAAAGGCCTCACAAGGGAGCAGTTCCAGTGGGGCCAGCGAGCGCCCGGCATCCTGGGGGCGGGGGGTGCAGGGGCTGGGGTGCTGTGTGGGGTGGGTTGAGTGGTTGTGTGTCTTAACCTGAAGAAGACTCTCCCTTGTGCATCCCCAGGGTCCCAAGGGGGACAGCATTAGAGGCCTGCCTGGCCCCCCAGGGCCTCAGGGACCCCCTGGCATTGGGTACGAGGGGCGGCAAGGTCCCCCTGGGCCTCCTGGGCCTCCCGGGCCCCCCTCCTTTCCAGGACCCCACAGACAAAGTGAGTATGTGCCCAGGAAGTCATCTCTGTGCCCTTCCCCACGCGCTGCCTCCCCAGGTGTTCCTGCCCCTTGCATCCCACCCACCCCCACCAGGCCTGAGACCTGCCTGGTTCCTGAGATGCTAAAGCCCCCTGAGTGCCAGCCTGTTCTTCCTTCCAGCTGTCAGCATCCCTGGCCCACCTGGGCCGCCAGGGCCACCGGGACCTCCAGGGACCAGCGGGTCGTTGACCTCTTCCGGGGTAAGGCAGGGTAGGCGGGGAGGGGACAGGTGGTGTGTGCGGTCTGTGAGCAGGGTGCCCAGGACTGCCCAGCAGGGGACAGCAGTCCCGGGGAGGGTGGGGGCAGTGCAGTGGGAAGACCCAGACACAAGCCCTAGTAGGAGAGTTCAGAGATCTTCCCCCAGAATATCCCGGGTGAAGGGCAGAGCGGGATCCATTTGGGGGCCCCAGAGGAGCGGGAGAGGCCAGGCCGTACGTAGGGTTGCCAGGGGTGGCACTAATCAGAGAATCAGTGCCCTCTGCTTAGTGCTGGCTGGGCTGGTCGGGGGGCTGCCTGGGGCATGGGCACTGAGCGCAGAGCAAGCAATACCCGCTGCGGGAGCTGGGCTGTGATCCATGACAGCCGGTCAAGAGGAGAGCCACGTGGGAAGGACCGGCAGAGACCGGGGGACCAAAAGCCCCATGCCGTAGGGCGCATGGAGCTGAGGGCACTGGGCATCTGCGCAGACCCGCTGCGTTTATCCCAGAGACGGGGGCGGGGACTGTAAGTGCCTACCCCCGGGAGATTCGTGAGCGCAGAGGGCTCTCCAGTCTAGAAGCCCCCCTGCCTGGGAGCTGCAGCGAGAAACGAAGGGCCGATTTTTAGCAGTGAGGAGACTCAACCCTTGGCACAGCTTATCTAGGGAGGCGGCGGGTCCTTCCTGTGTGACTGCAGCGTGGCTGCAAGAGTGTTTCTTCTGCAGTGCCACCCTGTGTCCCAGCGAGAGCCCGCTTCCCTGCAGCAGGCCACGCTGCCCGTTGTGAGAGGCAGGTATCCGCCATTCTGCCGAGAAGAGCAGTGGAAACTGTAGAGCCATGGGAAATACTCAGAGGTGGGAAGAGACAGACAGGGCTGTTCAGTGCAGAGCAGAGACGGGGGGGCGAGGGGTCGTTGTGACTAGCTATAAACCAGTGGCATGGGGAAGGCGAGGCATGAGGCCCTCCTCAGCGAAACAAGGAGACAGCCAATAAGAGAGGTGGGCAGCGAATCTTAAACTGACAAAATAAAATTCATTCACTTGAGGCAGAATTACCCTGTGGAACTCAGGGCTACAAGATATTATAGAGACAGAGATGAGAAAAGGATTAGACCACTGTAGGAACAGCAGCATGGCAAGAATAAGTGTACAAGGGGAATCTGCTCTCATGCCAAGAGATACAGCAGCCACTACATCCCTGAGGTTAGGAAGGAGCCTTCCTCAGGGGCGGGTGATGGCAGAATTCTCCAGTGGAGTTTCCCGCTGTTCCCGAAAGCATCTGGCCGCTGTGCTGGCCAGGGCCCTGCTCTAGCACCAGTGCGCTCGCTGATGCACCGGGGCAATTCCAGAACACAGGGTATAAAGGGCTGGAGTCACCCAGCAGCCAACAGCCAGCCTCCATTAGGGTTGATCTCGGAGCCCTTTGATGCCGGAGCACTAAGCGTGCCAGTGCTCACGTGCCCTCTGCTGCTGAACCCCGTGCAGTCAGAGCCCATTTCGTGGCGTTCTCCATCCTCTCCTCCAAGCCCCTGTGCAGCATAGCTGCACTCACACCCGGGGCCAGCAGGAGACAGCCCCTCTCGTACCTCAGCGCTGGGCTGCGGAGGGTTATCCTGTCGCTGAGCCCAGCCCTTCCCTGTGCCTTTGCACTGACGCTGGTGTGTCCCAGCAGCTGCGGATCCTGCCGGCGTATCAGTCCATGCTGAGCACGGCTCAGGAGGTGCCCGAGGGCTGGCTGATCTTCGTACAGGACAGAGAAGAGCTGTACGTCCGGGTGCGGAGCGGCTTCCGGAGAGTCCGTGTGAGTACAGGGTGGGGTTGATGAACGATGTTGTTACGGGAGGACAGGCTGTTATGTACATGCCTGCGTCGAGATCTGTCTGCAGAGCACTGCAGGTGTGCCAGGGCCCAGCCAGGACCAGGCCTGTGCACCTGGCGCTGCCAGGCAAAGGCCCCAGTCCTGCACAGCACATGCCCTACGAGCAGCCCTGTGGAGGGCAGAGAGAGAGCCACAGTGGATATGGTTGAGCACGTGTCTCTTGTCAGGATCAGGGCCTACGAGTCCAACCCTGCAGCCTGCTCTGAACGCACAGAGGCCTCCTGGGCATTTCCAGCAGCAGGAGCTGGGCCTGGTGCCAGTCCAGCCATGGGCAGAGGCGAGATGTGAAGACCTCTGACCGTCGAGCTCCTGTATAAACAATGCAGGGTCACACTGCGAGCTGGGCAGAATGGTGATGAGAAGAGCCCTGGCCATTCTCTGCTGACAGGCTGAGCCAGGCTGAGCACGAGACTGACACGTAGGTCTTTGGGGCTGCCACTTCCAGGGAAGAGCCCCAGAAACCAAGCCTAGCAGTGCCTGTTCTGTGTGCCAAGGGGAGCAAACAGCACAGGGGCCATTTCCCATGCATGGGGCTCTCCTGGCGCTCCCTGCACCAGCGTGTGGGGGCCGGGGCAGTTTGATGGGGAGGGCAGGTTGGATTTAGTGCCGCCGCTGCTTCCAGGCTTGGTTTGCCAGAGCCGTTGGCGAGAAGGGCACCCCCAGTCCTGTCCCTTGGGGATTAATGACACACAGCTAGTGTGGGGGGTGCCCACGCCAGGTCCTCTGAGCAAACTCATCTGGCTCTCTTGGCTGGGAAGTGGGGATGGCGGGGGCCCTGTCCAGGCTGGTGGGCCGGTTCTGGCGCCTCTGGGCTGCGGGCGAGGCAGACGTTGTTCCCAAGCCGGCACTGGGAGGGAAGCATGGGTTGGATCATCACAGTGCTGGAACGCTGCCCGGCTGTGGGGCTGGCAGAATTCTTCTCTCTGCTCTTCAGAAGCCCTCTATCGTCCCGCAGCATACCAGCACCACCAGCTCCCCTTTCCGGTCGCTCCTGCTGGAGTCACGCCCCTGGCCCTGCTGGGCCACTCACAGCCCCAGATGCTGCTTGCTATAAGCACTGGCAGCCTCTTCTGCCTTCCAGCTCTGGGAGTCTGGCCTCCCACCCGCTCAGGGACACCCCCCACTACTGGGAATCCCTCCCACACCCCACCCGCCCAGGGACACCCCCCACTACTGGGAATCTCCCCCCCACACCGCACCCGCCCAGGGACAGCCGGCGCACTGGGAATCCCCACACACACACGCCCCACCCACTCAGGGACACCCCCTACTACTGGGAATCTCCCCCCCCACACCACACCCGCCAAGGGACAGCCGGCGCACTGGGAATCCCCACACACACATGCCCCACCCACTCAGGGACAACCCCCCACCACTGGGAATCCCCCCCACACCCCACCCGCTCAGGGACACCCGCCGCACTGGGAATCTCCCCCCCACATGCCCCGCATGCTCAGGGACACCCGCCGCACTGGGAATCCCCCCCCACATGCCCCGCATGCTCAGGGACCTCCCCTCCACAGGGACACTCCCCACATGCTGAGCTGTAGCCCCACGCGTGGGATTTCTGGCGCAGGCTCGAGGGGGGGGTTGGCCCTGGCCGGTCTGTGGTGAAGCATGCTGCCTGCCCCTTGCTCCTCCACAGAGCCTGGCGCTGTCTGACACGGGGGTGGTCACTGGGCAGCCCGCGGGCCACAGCCGCCTGCCAGCTGCTTTGGAATGGCCCCCAAAATCTTTTCCTTTCCTGACTGTTCTCACTGGTTTGGTGTGGCTGTCCCTGGAGTCTGGACCCGGGCTCTACCTGGCCAGAGAGTAATTGAGCCTCCTTGCTTTGTTTCAGCTGGAGGAACACACTTCCATCTCCAGCCCCGGGCTGGTAAGTGAGCCCTTCTTTCTCCCCGCGAGAGCGCTGCGCTCAGGCCCACGGGGCCAGGGATCTGTCCTCCGGCTGGGCAGTGAGCATCGCGCTCTCTCACGACAGGACAACGAAGTGTACGACAAGCCGCCAAGTGTCCACTACTCGCACGGCGGCACTGCCTCCTCCGGCTTCCTGCACCCGCGCCGAGAGCACAACCCCTCCTCCACAGCCCGGCCCTGGCGAGCGGACGACAGCATCGCCAACCACCACCGCCTCCCCGACCACTCGCCCCACGGCGCCCAGCCCCAGCAAGAGCCATTGGACAGCTTCTCCCCAAATCGCCGGGGGGAGAGCACCCCCTCTGCCATTCACAGGCACCCTGACTTCCAACCCGCCGTGAGTACTGCCCAGCCACAGCTGCCCCCGCCGAGCGAGAGCAGAGCTGTGCGCAGCCCGAGGAGTTAGTGCCCTAAGCCAACCTACTGCAGCACAACACAGGCGGTGTATGGAACGAGGCCGCTGGGCCCAACCTGTCAGAGACTGGGGTGGGGTGTCCCTGGGAAGAGGGAGAGGAAACGGCCCCCTGGGGTGTGCAGTCACATGCACTCAGGCTGAGAGCACGCGCTAAAGCCAAGGGTCATGCTCAGTTCTACCATGCCCCTAATCCCCACCCGCACCCCTTCTTCCAGCACTGTGCCCAGCCTGCCAGCCCTGCCCCGAGACCAAATGGCTGCTCGGAGCCCGCCAGCCGTGATCCCTGTCAGGCAGATAGCACGTTGGCTGGCAGGAGAGCGTGGGGAGGGGCAGGGACGCTACAGCACTGGGCTGGTTCTGGGGGTGCCGCCATTCCTGGCTGGGCACACCAAGGATATCCCTGGGAGCATGCTGCACAGATGCTGCTGGTAGCATTGGAGGAGGTGACCTCTGGAGGAGCTGTCCCCGGAGCAGTCACTGTTGCCTGCTCCCCATCTGCGGCAGTCTCTGCATGGCGCTGGGAGGACACGACTGGTGGGTGGGGGCAGCGGCTCTGTGGGTGAGGGCAAGATACCGATGGCCACTGGCCACAGCACGTCGGGTCCTGTTTGTCTTCTCGTTCCAGCTCCACCTGGTGGCGCTGAATGCCCCGCTGAGCGGCAGCATGCGTGGCATCCGTGGAGCTGACTTCCAGTGCTTCCAGCAGGCCCGGGCAGTCGGGCTGACGGGCACGTTCCGAGCCTTCCTGTCCTCCCGGCTGCAAGACCTGTACAGCATTGTGCGCAGGGCCGACCGGAGCGGAGTGCCCATCGTCAACCTCCAGGTACGCAGTGGGAGCGTACACGGCCTGTTAGCGCTCGGAAAGGCTGGCTGGAGCACGGGCCTCTGGCAAAGGTGGACTGCACTTCTGTTCTCCAGCTCTGCCCCCCCTGCTGGGGGCCTGCAATGCTGCTGAGCCCTGGGGCAGTTTGGTGCAGGCAGCGCATGTGTGGGAGTGCCAGCCCCACTGCATATGTGCCCCAGTCAGGATTTGAGCCCAGACCTCCACAAGCACAGGCCAGTGTGCAAGCGACGCATGCCGCAGACGCGAGTGCTGCCGTGCTCAGTGCAGCAAGCCCACCGTCAGCGCTTGGTGCACCCGTCACCTGGGGCGCAGGGCCTGATTCGACAAGTGGCGCCGAGCGCCCACGATGGTAGATGGGGATTGGGGCGCTTAGCACCTCTCAGGAAGCATGGGAGCCTCGTGCAGCCCATGGGCATCCCCGCTTTCCTGACGGCCGTCTCTGCTGAGTGCCGGAGAGGCTGGGCTCCCACGCATCCCTCGCGGGGAGCGGGGCTCTGGTTGGCTTGTCGCATGCGCTTTCCCGGCAGACGCTATTGCTGCAGTGCTGTGACTAGTTTTTCCTCCCAAAGGATGAAGTGCTGTTTAACAACTGGGAGGCGCTGTTCTCGGGCACAGAGGCTCAGTTCCGAGCTGGTGTTCGCATCCTCTCGTTCGACGGAAGAGATGTCCTGAGAGACTCTGCGTGGTAGGTGTCCCAGAACGGCTGCCTCCTGCCGCTGCAGGGAGTGACCCATTGCTGTGCGGCTGCTGGGTCCCCATGGCACGGGGGGCCCTTTCGGGCTGGCATTGAAGGGGACGGGGTTTCATGATTCCCAGCCAGCATCACGTGAGGCAAGTAAATGCCATGGCGAGAAGCTGCTGGCTCTGCCAGGAATGATCTGTCTGCTGTAGGAACAGTGCATGTGAGAATGGCTTGTTAGCCTCCCAGGGCAGGTGCTGGGCACAAGGCCACCTCCTGGCTAAGTGCAGTGTCAGGTACTGCACTTAGCCTGTGTGCTAGGTGGTTCTGGGCCCAGTTCCCACAGGCTCGGACTGCATGTTGCTCCCCGGATCTGCCCTGCGTGTGGGGAAGCAGAGCCGTGATAGCTAGCCGGGGGAAGATGATTCCTGCGAGGTGCCCGCGGTCACCAAGCTGGGCAGGGGGGCAGAACCTTTGTGTAACCAGCAGCAACCGGTAACAGGGGCAAAGAAGAGTGAGGGAGCGGATCTCCTTGGTCTGGGTGTTGTGAGTTCTCTTGCTAGTGCCTCAGTCTTCCTGGCTCAAACAGGGCCACGTGAACTCAGGGCCAGCCTTCCTGCCTGGCTAGCACGGCCTTGTCCAGCCAGGCTCCCCTCTGTGTGGGAGAACTGCCAGGCTGAGGGAGCTCACCGGGCCGCATTCCTCAGGGCCTATCTTGGCTTTGTTTGTGGGAATGGAGGGATTTGCAAGGTCGCTGTCCTGGGGGGTTGGATGTGGTGGGGGCTCCATGCGAACGAGTGATGCACGCTGAGCAGGGGGTCTCCGTTCTGGGCTGCTCTGGAACTCTGGTTTTCCAGCCTCCCTCCCCAGGGCAGGTTTGATCCCGTCCCCCCTCCACACAGTCGTGGTCATTATGGGGGTTTGTGTTTCATTGCCACCCAGGAAGCTGCAGGGAGGGAGCACTGGTAGTGCCGGCCTAGCCTGCTGCTCCTGCAAGGGAGGTGTAGCGGGGTGGACACCCGCTCCTGCCTCAAAGGGCCTGAAACAGCCCTGGGAGAAGGCTGAGCTGATTCGGGGGAAGTGGCTGCAGCTGGGGCCACGCCCCAAACAGACTCAGCTGGCCCTATAAAGGCAGGGAGCCAGGCGCTCACAGTCTCTCTCTCTCTCTGCCTTCAGAGAGAGACGGGCCTGGCTGCAGGGAGCTAGACAGAGTACCTGAGTGGAGTAGGGCTGGGAAAAGGCTGAGGAGCTGGGGAGCTCCAGCTTGGAAAGCCTCAGGCTGCGGCCTAGCATTGGGGTAATAGGTACTAGGGGTTGCGGAGGGCAGCCCAGGGGTAGGCCAAGGCAGCAGGTCCAAACCCAACCCTGCCAGTGATGAGTGGCTGATACTGCAGTCTGCCACAGGTGTGGGGCTAGATGGTGACTGGCAGTAGCCTTATCCTGAGGCAAGGTGGGGTTAGTGGGTGAGGATTCCCCTGGGAGGGGAGACCCAGCGTGTGGGGGTACTGCCAGGGGGCAGCACCCAGAGCAAGGGGCACTGGGGTCCTGGGAGGGACACGGGAGCCAGCAGAGGACAGGGTGGATCACCAGCCTGCAGAGGGCGCTCCAGAGGCTGGATTGAGCTGATTCCCCAGATGACCAACAGGAGGCGCCACAGGGGTGAGTCCGACCCCTTACAGGAGGCCAGGGGTTGGTTGGGGGGGTCTCTTGGCAAACCGTGCCACTCCAGCCGCTCCTCGTGCCCATGGGCTTGGCAGTGAGTTGTTGCCTTGTGTTGCAGGCCTCAGAAGAATGTCTGGCACGGCTCTGACGCCAAGGGCCACCGGCTCACAGAGAGCTACTGCGAGACATGGAGGACGGACGATGGCGTGGTGACAGGCCAAGCCTCCTCGCTGGCCTCGGGCAAGCTCCTGGAGCAGAAGGTGAGCAGCTGCCAGAACACCTTCATCGTCCTGTGTATTGAGAACAGCTTCATGACCTCTTCCAAAAAGTGACCTGCCCCCGCCCGCGCCTCGGCGCACAGAGAGGAGGGACCCCAACGGGGCAGCCGCTTCCCCCTTCACACAGCCATTCCCAGAGAAGCAGATGAAAAGCCAAAGAGTGTTGAGTTAGTTTGAAACGCCAGCCCGGTGCTGGCCAGCATCTGGAGGGCTGAGCCGGCTGGCTGTACTGGCCATCTCCTCGTCTCCGGTGTACACGCAGTGGGTCTTTCTCTTTTAATCCCCCTCATATTTAACCAGGTTAGTTGTATGCTTGGGTGAACTCTCCTTGGTTCCCTGTTTTCCCCCTTGCTAGGACAGTCATCACAGGGAGGGCCCCGTGGTCCCCACGCGGGGTGCCGGAGCATGAGATGCTCTTTGCTGAGACGGGGAGGCCCCGCGGGAGAGCTGGCTGCACGGCCAGTCCTTGTGCTGTGGGGTGTGTGACGGCCCCAGCTGGGCAGCACTCTGGCCTCGTTAGCAGCCGGAGCAGTGCAGGCTGTCACCAGCTCCGCTCTACTGCTCGGTCTGTGACATCCCAGGGCTTGCTGTCTGTCGCTGGCTGTGCACCCTGCAGGGGCTCAGCTGGGTGAAAGGCCCTGAGTCTCTAGCTGAGTCCCTGTCTGCAGGTTGGCTTCCCCCTCAGCTTGGTCTGATAGCCCCTGGCTTCGCCTCCCTTCCTCCATCTGTTCCATGGGAGCTGGAGTGGGACCAGGCCCCCAGCCCCAGGTGCCTCTCAGCTGGCAGTGGGGTTCCTGCTGGTGGAGCCCTGCTTCCCACAGTGGGTGGCGAGAAGTGGGTTCCCCCCATGGCATGGGTAAGCTGTTGGGGGTAGTACTTCAGGAGCTGCCGGGCAGGGAGGCTGTCCTTTGAAAGCAGAGTCATTTCCTTGTTGGAAGAACCAAACGGGTTAGTTATAAGAGGAAAGTCAAATGGAGGCCAAATCCCCGCCCCAACGGTTCTGTGCAGTGCCTTCCCCATTGCAGGACACTGGCTAGCTGAGGCGGGGTGCCCTCCCCACACCTCCCCTGGCTAGCCCAGCCGATCCACACCAAACCCTGGCCAACATGTGCCTTACTCTGGTTAGGGACAAGGGAGAGCAATGCATGCGCTGATGAGGGGAAGGAGTGTACTCTCCTTTGCTTGGGGGTGGGGGGAAGGGGCATTTCCTTGAGTACCAGAGGGCAGATTAAAAAGTACCTGTTCTAGCAATACTGGGTGTCAGGGCCAGGAGGTTTTGTGACCTCCATGAGCATTATGGGGTGGAGACTCTTCTTTGCTGCCATAAAACCTGACTTCCAGAGGGAGCCCAGCCCATGACAGGCAAGTTTGAATGTCAGGAGAACGTCTGGGTGTGGGATTTAAGGTCCCATACTGCAGCTGAGCATCAGCTCCAGGAGAACGTCCCGCCTCAAAGCCAGAAGCCTTCCACACACTTCTATGCTCCTCGTGTACCATACTTGGGAAGCACTAATGTCGAAAGGATTTTTTAATCAGTTTTGAAAATCTGAGGTGCTACATTTTTAACTAGCTTCTTATTGTACTGAAATTACCATAAAGGCTGTGCAAGTCACACAATTCCTGTTTCTTATTGTCTACTGTATTTGTGTAATTAATGCAATTTAAAGCCTGTGGATTTTTGTTTTTTTGTCAGTTGTGTTCTTTAAACCGTTTTCTAAAGGCACTGAATAAAGGAAAGTCTCCTCTTGTACTCCCAGTCAAGTCATTTGGCTGTGAAGAGAGATGTACGGCTGTGAATGCACGGAGCTAGCCCTTAAGAAACGCAGACAGCTGAACTCTGGCTTCCTCCAAGTGGAAGGTCAGAGGAACACCTGCATGGAGCAGATCTTGTGCAGGGTCTCATTCTGGTTTCTATTGGAGTCTGGCTGACACGCTGAGACAGATTTACTATCCCTTCCAGAATCTGTCACCATTAGGGCCCTACCAAGTTCACGCCTGTGAAAAACACATCACAGGCCATGAAATCTGGCTGTTTAGGGGAGTGGGGCTCCTATCACATGCCGGACTCCAGCGGCTGGGCTGGGCTGGGGAGGGATTTCCTCTTCCCCTGCAGCGGCAACTCTCGGGGCTGGGACCTGGCTGGCTGGGAGCCCAGCGCTGAAGGCAGCGCAGAAGTGAGGGTGGGCTGTGGAGTCAGAGCAGTTGTGGCGCTTCCTGCAGCTGACCCTGCCCATGCAGAGGGAGAGAAAGTCCCGTCTCTCCCCAGCCCAGCCGGGACTAGCAGCTGTCCGTCTTGGGGTTTCTTGTGCCGTGTGAATGCCTGGGCAGCTGAGACCCCCGGGGCTGTGCAGTGCAGGTGGAATGCTGGCTGGGCTCTGGGGCTGGCTGGGGGAAGAGCCCAGCATCCACGTAGCATTGGCGTCGCTGCCCCGATCTGCTGTGCATTCCCCAGCTCCATGGTCACAGGCTGAGGGAAACAAGTTACCCAAGGGGTGGCAGTGAGGCCCCAGCCCAGCCCCAGCTGTGGCGCTCCCCATGGGAAGGTGAAGTGTCACTAACTACCGAGCACAGGCCTAGCACAATCAGTGTTGGTGTGAAATCCAGCCCCGCACCAGCTCGCTGCTTCCCCTTTTGGGTGCCAGGCACAGGTAGCACGGTGCCAGATGGAGCCCCAGGCCCCCGGGCTGTGGGTCAGATGCCCCTAGCACTGCGGTACTGGACAGAGCCCCAGGCCGCTGCATCCCTAGCATTGCAGTGCTGGACAGAGCCCCCATGTCCCTAGTGCTGCGGTGCCAGATGGAGCCCTGAGCCCCCAGTGCCGTGGTGCCGCAGTCTCACACAACAGGCTGCAGCAATTGTCCAGCCTGGGTTAGGAAAGTGACTAGCTGAACCCCTGGGAGCTAAAGGCAGGCCCTGAAATCCCAAAGAGGGTGATGGATCCTGGCAGTGCCTGGTGCCTCCTAGCCATGGGGGCTGGGGCCCAGCGGGCTGGGTGAATGTGCTGCTGGGAGGGAGCAGGAGGTGGTGGGCAGAGAACAGGGCTGGAGCTGTTCTGAGGAAAGGGCCTCCTTTGGGGGAGGGGGGCACTAGATGAGCAGGGAGTTGATTCCTTTTTCATCGGGGTGACCCCCCAAGCCTGCCCCTGTGTACTGGGACTGATGGTGCCCTGGGGCTGGAGCAATCGCACATGGGGCCTGCGCTGACCGAGCCAGGCAAGATGGTGTGCAGGGGCTCTGTTGGGGGGCCGGGGTAGAGTCCAGGCTGCAAGCAGGCTCCTGGGATGCCCTGACCTATGTCCGGCCCCCAGGGCCCTTGCCTGCTGGCAGCTGGCTCAGAGTTCAGCTGGTACCAGGCACTTGGAGGAGAAAAGGGCTGTTGCCAGCTGCCCTCTCCGGTGTGGCCAGCAATGCACACTGGGGATAGGGGCGGGAGCCAGGCAGGGCCTTGTCAGCCAGCAACCCATCACGGGTGTGGGGGAGGGTGGGACATGGAGCCTAGCCCTGCACCCAGGCAGCACTTTACACAGGACCAGCGAAGCAACAGAGCTGAGGCCCTCAAAGCCCCCCTGCTAGGACACCGTCCTGCGCTGCGCCAGGCCTGAGTGGGGGCTGCTGGCCACACAAGCCCAGGGGCTCAGCAGTGCCTGGGCCCGGTGACATGAGGTGGGCGGGTATGACCTAGTGAGGCCTAGTGATTTGCTGTGCTCGTCGGGCCTGCCCCGGGCATGGGCTTATCTGACCAGCCCGGCAGCAGGAAGGACCAATGCAGGGGCAGTTACCACTAAGGGACCCAGCCAGCATGGCATCTACCCACAGCAGGTGACAGGGAGCCAGCCTCTAGGGCTACACTGCAAAAACTACATTTCAATGGTTCACTGGGCACCCAGCCCAGGGTCTGACCCAGAAGTGAATTGACTGATTGTACATTCCCGTGTCTCTCTTCTGAATGCCTGTGGCACACTGGTGAGTAAGGGCAGTGTAATGTCTGTAGTAACCCTGGCCGAGGCCTTGGCTACTCATTGTTCGTATGTGTCAAAGTCAGACCAAACACAGGGTGAAATGGGTTTTTCTCCCAGGCAGGCGGGAAGGCAGCCACCTACCTGTGTCCAGTGTAAATGGAGCATTAGGGACTGGAAGTGTTACATACAAATCAACAGGAACCTGGCAGCCTCTTGTCACAGGGTCACTGACCTTTGGGCGCCATCCGCAGCCTGCCATGTTGGGCCCAAGCATTTTGCCCTCTGTGCAGGTCCTGGCTGGGAGCCTGGCCAGCCATGCTGGACCAGCCTCTTGCAAAGTCTCATTGGTCAATCAGGTTTCAGGCGGCGCAGCGTCGTTTTACTTTTGTTTGCGTGTAACCCCCGTCTAGCTTTATTCGACACGTGGTAGCACTTAGCCCTAGGACAGTTTGTTACTAAACGTGGTTGACATTCAGGATGAGCCAAGGGGGTGCACTAATGGAAGGGTGGGTACAGCCGCCCCTCTGAAGCTAGCAGGCTGTGGATTGGCTCTTTAAAGCAACAAAAAAACCTTACTACTGTGTAAGCGTGTGCAGTTAGGGGGCTGGCCGCTGCTGGGAGATGTTGCTGGGGAATTCGGGAGTTGGGGGGTTCACAGTTTAAGGCACGGTTTAGATTGGCAGAGCCCTGCGGCGTTTGCTGGCATGGCCGGGAGCTGGAACGCAGCTTAGCAGTATTAAAACGCTCCCTGGCTGAGGCTGGGGGGAGGGGAAGGGTAACGCTATCACGCACAAGGCGGGGCGCCCCAGCAGATTGTCACAGCGGGGTATCTGCTCCTGGCCATGTGCACAGAGGGCAGCACGTGGGTGTGAGCAGCAGCACTGCCCATCAGGGCACAGGCTGCTGTGTTCCACTCTCCAGCACACAAGGGTTATGGCCCCAGTGGCCACTGCTGCACCACGGTGCAGGCTGCAGACCCAAGAGGAGCACAGCGGCTGAGGGCAGGAATGGGCCCCCCCCCTAGCTCCATGTTGGGCTAGAAAGGGCTGCCAGATGCCTCCCCGCACTTACAGCCGCCTTCCCCCCGCCACAATCTGTTACAGTCAGCTGATGTGAGCCAGGCAGGAGGGCACAGCTCACCTGCCCCTCTCAGCCCAGCCCAGCCCCCACCTTGGGCAAGGCGAGCCAACCACGGTCCCGCTTGGGTCGAACCTCCCTGGCTGTATGCAGTATGGGCCACAGTTATGCCACAAGGCCCAGGGTTAGTGCAAAGACTTTCCAGCCCCCGTAGTACAGGGCAAGGCTGCTCTGCGGGCCATGCTGTAAAGCTACAGAGCCACGTGTGGGGAGGGCCTGGCTGGCCCTCCTGGTGCGGCCGTAGAATCAACGCCAGAGGGTCAGATGCTTTGTGCAGAGAGGCCCGGGGGAGCAGTGGCTGCACAGTTGCTGAAGCAGTGCATTGGCGGGGGGACGCGTCGGGTGAAGTGCTCCAAGCCCCAGGGCCTGAAGTCAGGTGATTACACGGGACACTCAGCGTTCACTACGAAGAGCACACGTCTAGCCTGCGTGGAGCAAAGCTGGAGCACAGGACCCGTGAGGGCTGACACCAGAAGCGAAGAAAAGAGCCTCAAGGGCTTGTCTTAGCAACATCTCGGGTGTAGTCCCTTCCTCATGTTCTGGGAGGAGCCTAAGGTGAGTTTGGTACGCTGGGCACAGGTCACCCCGAATGAGTGTGTGCGCGCGCAAGTGTCTATTGGGAAAACCCAGCCCAGGAACCGCGTCAGTAATGGAGCCGTGTCACTCAAAGCAGCAGCCCTGGGGCCAGGCCTGGCGCTGGGATGGGATCTCCGGGTTTGCACCATTCTGTCCTCAAAGGCCATTCTTAACACTGGGGTTTGCACGGTGCGGCTTCTGCCGGCACTGAGGCTGTGATGGGAGCGGGCGGGAGCGGCAGCTCTGCCAGCAGTAGCAGTCTGGGGACCAAGGGTGCGCACAGCCCTGGGGATTGGTGGCCCCTACAAGCTAGGCTAGGACTGCAGCCTCACCCTGGCCTGCGCTCCTTGCTTTCTCAGGTGCACATTGACACTGTGAGGAAGGTAAGAGGACCGTGGCCAGCCATTCCCTGGGACTGTGATGGGCTGGGGTGGGCACACAGGCCACTCCCTCGGGTCTCCTCTCCCAGATGCACTCAGATGTGCACACTGCCCGGCTCCAAGCTCCTCTCCTTCCCTGATGCCTCCTCAGCAGGACTTCCGAGCTCCTTGGCGAACGCCGGCTCCTGCGGCACCTTGCGCCGGCGGTGCGTCACGGCCACGCACACCGCTGCCCCCAGGTACACCACTGCCAGCAGTGTGAAGTAGGCGAAGTACACATAGAACTGAAGGGGAGAGAGAGCACATGACACCAGAGCCCAGGTTAAACCTACAGCCTACCCCCCCCTCAGTCAGCCAGCGCTGCCCTGCCTTGCTGGCTGGCACCAAGGGGTTAATGGCAGATGGGGACAGGGCTGACCCCCCCCTGCACTTTCTGTACCCAGCAGCAGGTAGCCACTTAGCTCCCTGATAACTGCTGTGTGAGTTGGGGGGGGGGGCACAGCTGCACTGGGGCTTGGAGGAGCGGAAGGGAGCTTGGGGCAATGGGGGGAGGCAGCGGGAGCCTGGGGCAATGTGGGGGCCAGGGGAAGGCAGCCGAGGCAGGGGCACCAATATACAATTTCACCCAGGGCACCATTTTCCCTAAGGCTGGCCCTGTCCCCACGCTGAAGGCTGGACCCAGGGGAGCAGGGAGTAGGCTGAGGGCAGTGAGGGATGCTTTACTGGCAAGGATGAGAAGCTAGAGTGCAACCCCCATCTTTGACCGCCGAGGCTTTGGGGCCTGCTGGGAAGAGCAGAGTTGCACTCCAGCTGAAGGACACAAGAGGAGCCCAGGTGCGGCAGAAGATGCTGGCGTGTGATATGTGGGGGTGTCATGTCATGGGATTTTAAGGACTACATACACGGGACTGATAACTAGACCGTTTGGGGAGTTATGTTTTGGAAAATGTGCACAAGGTTTTTGTAACAAACCAGCCCCAAGGAGGGGTACTACCCAGGCAAGACGAGCCTAGTGTAGAGTCCTTGTGTTACCTGAGAAGGAAACTGAGGCAGGCACACTAGTTATGCCATGGCCTGTCACAAGAGGGTGCTCCAGGTGGCTCTATGACAGGGACACTGTTAAATTGGCCCAAACAACCTTAACTTTGCCCCTGTCCAGCCACCAACCTCCCACCAGCCCCCTACTAGGCAGGCTGCTATATTTGCCCATCAGCCATTTCCCCAGTGAGTTGCTCCTAAGCACATGTTCATTTCCCAGGGCTTGGGGAACTCGGCAGCCTTCGGGCTCGGCTCCCATTTGGGAAAGTGAGCAGCAGAGAGGCACAGACCTGGCTCCACGGGCAAAGTGTGAGCCACTCCCCGTCCAAGCCAGCCAGGGCTGGTCCCGCTGCACACTGGGTTCGAGGCAGTTTCAAAGGCTTTGCTGGGGCTCTAGGGCTGCCTCAACCACTCCCCGAATGCTGCTGTGCATACGTCAGCCCTGAATGCACACTCGGGGTGGGGGGGGAGGCTGTTTGCAGCTGAGCTTGTAGCAGGCGCTTCCCTAACAGTGGGGAAGGGGCAGGGAGGAAGCCAGGCTAACGTTGTCATGCGCTAACTGGGCCTGCAGCACCATCTGGCAGGGGCCAGCTCAAGTGCAAAAGGGGTTTCAACATGATATGGGTCTAGGGCGGGCACAATAACCAGCCAGGGCAGGGCCAGATGGCAAACCAGGCGAGCAATACAGACCACTAGTCACACCCCTGCCCTGCCCGCCCAGGGGCTACTTTCATGGCTGTGGGCAGTTTCCCTTACCCTGCCCAACCACCAAACAGCCCTGCCATAGGTTTCTCGGCCTGGGCCAATCCGACCCACTCGGCCTCCCGAGTGGCTCCCCACTGGCGGCCCAGGGGAAGCTGCGCAGGCCCCTTACCTGCGGATGCACGGAAAGGCCCAGGCCCCGCTTGTCTGATATGATCATGGTGATGATGGTCTTCAGGACGGTGGCAAAGAAGGTGTTCACGCCAAACACCAGGGCACAGAGCTCTTTGGAGAGGGAGGTGGCAATCTGGAAACTGCCGTCAAAGCGAGAAGAAAGCAGTCACTCAGCGTCTGCGTCTGTCTGACAGCAAACATACAGCCAGCTCCTCGGCCAGTGCCACTATCGCCCTGCCCCTGCCTGAACCTGCGGGGGCTACACCAGCTGACTCTGGCCCGGCCGAGGAGATCCGTCCCCATGTGCATGTGACACGTCCGTCTGCCTGTGCTCTGACAGCGCGCTGCCCTGCAAGCTGTCTTGCCGGCTGGCTGTTCTCCCAGCTGTCACGGCCGAGCTGTGGTTTATAGAGCAGGGGTAGGAGTTCCTGGCTAGGGCCTGTGCGATCCATTGGGATCTCTATGAGAGGCACAGGGTGGGAGTTACCAAACGCCTGGTTACAGGAGCGCTCAAGGGGCCCTGAGTCTGAGAGGATGCGCTCACTCAGCACCTCCCAAAATCCCACCCCCAGGCCCAGAGGAAATACGCCACACACAGTTCCTAGCATGCCCACCTCCTGCCTTAGGCTGGCAGAGGCCAGCACTGCGTCTGAATGTGCAGTGCCCGTGGCCCAGTGTCACCAGTGGGCTTCCCTCTGCCGCTTCAGCCTTCGGGGCGGCAGACCTGCCCACTCCACAGCAGGGCAGTTTGGGCCCATCTAAGCCCTAGAGGCTGTGCTGAGGGAGTGCTGCAGGCCTGGGGCTGCTGCAGGCTCCAGTTCCAGTGTGCTTTGGGCTGAAGGGAGTGGTGCTGCTGTGCCCACACCCGTAAGGGGCTGGAGAAGGCAGGTGCCATGCAAGCACAGCAGTGACCTGCACCAGTCAAGGGCCAGGGGGTTGGATGTACATCACTGGAAACGGTCCCACCTACAACTCACACAAACCCCATGCCACCCAGCCCCACTAGGCACTGTGCCAACGTGGAGAGCAAGGGCCAGCAGGCCTCTCTGGGTGTGGACTGAGGTGCCCCACTGGAAAGCCCCGGCTGCATGGGCCCTGTCTCCTTGGTGGAGGGGGAGCCCAGCCACCAGGCGCAGCTCAGGGCCAGTCGCCAATCCTTCACTGCAGCACACGTTCTCTGCCCTCCGATACCAGCTCACCCGCTGGGGGAGTGGCTGCCCTGGCGTCCAGCTGCGTCCGTGTTACTCGTGGGGGACCCAGCAGAGCGAGACACCCCAACTCACATGGCTATGGGGACCAGGAACTGGTAGGAGCCCCTGAACAGGATGTAGGCCCCGTAGCAGAGCCAGATGTTGCTGGTGGTGCTCATCAGCAAGAGCAGCCCCGCCTGGAATGCCGTCACGCCGCCAATCACCAGTTCCGACCACCGCGCCCAGCGGATCTTCACATAGCCCGCCGCGAAGGCAGTGATGGCACCTGGGGAGACAAGGCCTCAGTGACTAAAGGCTGCCCGCAGGGTAGGGCCCGTGCCCGCGGCAGGAGCCTGCCTGGCTGCACTTGGTGCAGTGGTGACAGGACGTAAGCCAGGGCCACACGCAGATGGCAGCATGCAAGGAACGGATGAGTGCAGCTGGGCCTCGGTAAGCTCACCACTCACAGCCCCGTCTGCCCCAGCGAATGAGCACCAGTCCCAGGGCATTCACAGTCACTCTGCCATGGCACTGCCCTCCCAGCCCTGGCTCTGCCCTTCAAGCTGACGTGAAAGCAAGGGGGAGCTCACCCGAGGACAAGCAATGGGGGAGAAGAGCTTTATGAGGGGCTGCACTTCAGAAGGGGCATCTCCAAGGGTTACTGGCCTGTCAAGAGGGAGGGAAAAGGACCCCTGGCTCATCCGTCACTGAGGATACTAGCCGGACATGTGGGATCGTGCTGTGGGGCGGTTGCTCGGGGTGAGAAGTCGCTGTAGACAAGGAGTTTAGCCTGACAGAGTGAAGTTTAGACTCTAAGACGCGTGTTATCCCCTTTGTTTTACACATAACCTGGTGTTCTTATTACCATTGCTCTTAAAGCTTAATCTTCGTAAATAAACTTGCGTGTGTTGTCACTGTGACTAGATCTCAGTGC